TTCCTGTCCCAGCTGCATGTCTTTGCGCGAAAGTTGCTCCACTTGCTTTTCAGAAGTTGTGGTGCACTTTACAGATTTCATCCAATTTCTTTGTCAATGAAATACATACCCCTCTAAAGGAATCATCTGTGGACTTGTTATAGTTCCAAACTCTGAATCTTACCAAAGGGGTGGTGTGTCCCACGTCTACTGTCAGAAGACGATCCTGCCCATCAGTGAATGGTATCAGCCATATGTGCTCATCACTCATTGTCACGTTTGTTTCATTTATTAATCTGTTGGGGTAACAATCAAAACTTTAATCAAAACCAAGGTACTGAAAAAACCAAGAAAATTCTGTTCCCAGATTTTTATTATTTTTATTTTTTTATGCCATTAAGTACGCAAGAAGTACATCCATAGAGTTTTAAGTTGTGATACCAGAGCAACCCAGTTAAAAATAATTAAATAAAAGCAAAGGTAAAACAGTAAGGAGACACTAAAACAGCTTGTATTCAAAGGCTTCATCAAATGGACCCGAGTACTAACTTATCAAGAGTTCTATTGTTATCTTCATATTCAGGAAGGTCATTAAGATCTCTTGGAGACGCTTCGTGAAACAAATTAGGGATAAGAGTTATTTGAACACCAATTTTTCCAAACAAATACTCTGATTTATTTACAATAGAAACTTATACTCGCGTTCCTCTACATAGATAAGAATCAAGTCATGCCGGTGTTCTCAACTCAGCGAGGATGTTTTGGTCATAAAATGTTCAACCCAAGGACCGATGCAGATAAAAATTTTCTCGAGTTTCCTTTTCTTCTTAGAAACTTAAATTGAAACGTTTTGCAGAATTCACGACGACTGGTAAAAAAAGCGTCTTCTTGTTCCTGCCTAATTCATATTAGTTGTCATTTTAATACATTAACAACCACTTTAGACAAGAAAAAATATATCTATTTTTCAACGTATTGTTCGACTCTCGAGTAGCCAACTTGAGTTTTAGAAATTAAGATCGTTTCCAGTGCGCTCTCAGTTCCCCGTTTGAGACGACTTTTGTCTGTACCCAGCAACTCTAACCCTTTCCATGGAGACAGCAATATCCAGGACCATGGATATTCTTGCTTACGAACAGGAACTAATCATTAGCCGATCAGTATGCACTTTTATTTTGACCGCGGAAAGGTATTGGGCTCGGAGCAACGCAGACCGGGGAGAGGTCTTCAAGGGGTCTGGGACTGATAAAAGAGGGCTTAAGGAACCAACGTTTTGAGACGCAAACGGAAGCCGGAAGTGAAAATTTCTTACTCCTGCTGTTCAATACACCTTTTTGGTAAGTACAGTTTGGTTTAGAATGCTAAAACGCAGAACTTACTGTCGATACATTAGCGTTAAAGCGCGCCAGAGGTAGTTTTCTATTAATGAGACCAGACCCTCGGCAAACGTGTCCCCGTCTTGTCTCAAATCTTTCGGCCGGCGGAGAAACGCGCGTCTTGCAACGCATTAATGAGAAATAGCTCTCAAGCTATGGACATATTGCCAGTGGAACTGAGCAATAGATTTTTATCAATAAATAATGCAAAGCATAAAGAGCACGAAGAGAAAACAGACGAATTTGATAACCTCATCAACTGTTCCATGACGGAGTTTCTTGCACTTTAGTAGATGTTTGTTACTCTATCAATAGTGGTAATGCGACTGTATTACAACTGTAAACGATCCTCGGCTTCACACCCGAAATAAGCAGTTATTAATTGCTAGAGATAATGTTGCCTTGTGTCAGTGATGAAATGGAACTCTTGGCAGATGTGCACCCACGCTAGCCAAGTGCTCGAAACGAACGTTTTTCAAAATTTACTTCATCCACACCACCAACTTTTAGCTGACATAAAGTCCACCTTAAAAAGTCAGTCCTCTCCAAAAACATACAACTTGGACCAAACTTCCCATCCTAGAGATTGGGAATTTAACTTTAAGATTATACTAAAGTACCTCTCATCATACTCCTTGGTCTGTTCTGTTATTGGCTGAACGTGTTCTTCTCTTTTTGATTACATCTCATCTTGAGCATCACCTGAAAGAAACGATGACGAAAGATGTTTAAAAAAATCCCACATCACCCTACACAGGAAAGGTACATTTTCATCCTCGACCCCTCCCATATTAACTCAGTCAAAGCCAGTATTGTCTATATAAAATAGTCGAAGTAAGTAAACTCGTTATTTCGCTACTGGACTGACTGCGCACACGAAACAACTTACCATGATGATTTTACAAATCAAGATCCTATGTTATTCGCTTTTTGTGTGATTTCTCAAATAAATAAAACAAACTCCACGATTCCTCTAAACTCTAATTGTGCTCTCTGTGATAAAAGGTGAAAAAACAAGTTAAAATTGATTAAATGTAGGTGCC